TCCCCCCCCGCGTGCGCGCGCGCGGACCCCTCCCCTCCCGTCGTTGCCGCCCCCGACGGCCGCCGTTTACAGTCAGCCCCGCGTCGACGGGGCTACTACCCGGGACGAGCTGTCCCGTCTCGGTTCACCTCGCGGTGCACGTTAGAAATGTCCCTGAGGCGGTTGGAGCCAAGGGACGCGCTGCCCTCCGGCCCCCTCACCTCACACAGGTCCCCTTTCGCCCCTCTCTCCCCCGGCACCCCATTCTGTCATGGCTGCCCGGCCCCCTCACCTCACACAGGTCCCGAATTTGGTCACCTCGTCCGAAAGGGAGCGGGGCGGCGGTGGGGAATGGCGGGGGGGGCCGTAGCGGGGCTGCCTGCCGGCCCGCGGCCCGGGTGAGGCCTGAGGGCGGGCGCGCTGAGGTGATGGCCCGCGGCCGGACCCACCGGGGAGGCGAAGGGAAAGGGGAACCGGTCTTTGGGAAGGGAGAAAAAGCCATTTCAACGCGGTGGGGAAAAAAAAATCACGCCCTGGGTGCTTTTAAAAATAGCTGCGCTCTGAAGGTGTAAGAAAAGGTGTAAATTAAGCCCCCAAAAAACCCCACACCCATGCTGTAAGGGGGAAGAGGAGGGAAAGGGAGAAGAGCCACGAGAATTAGAAGCAAAAAAAAGAAAAAAAGCACCCCTGACAAAACTAATCGCAGTCTGGGACAGCGTGAATATGTGTCTTAATTCACACCGGTTACTACCAGGTGAAATATCCCTTTTGTAGGGATGGTAATTGTTCGTTGTACTGTTTAATGGACAAAATGGTAATAGAACTTGAAAGTGTCTGTAGTTGAAGACGATGAGGAAGCTGGTCACTGCTGATAGGGTTCAGCAGAGAAAACAGGAAAAATATTAAAGGCATTAATCTTGAAATAAAAATGTAAGTGTGACACACATTCGGGATTTTTGCATAAGAGATGCAGGGTAGCCTGTATCTTACTGTGCATTTTGAAGCTGTATTTTTTCTGAGGAATTCTTGCTAGGAATTTAGATCCCAACAGAAAATCTTGAAGTACTTTACATGTGCCACTGGAATGCCACCAGACAAATGCGTCATGCAACAGTTTAATTGATTTCAGTACAAATTAGTACAATGAAGTTAGTACAATGAAAAAGTTAGGTAAACTAAATTACACAGATGCAGAATCCTGTTCCTAGATCATATTTCTTTTTTTGTATTTCTAATAGCTGGGTTCTGAACTATAAAAACACACATATCCTATGTAAAATCTCTTATTTCTAAGAACAGGTTTTCTTTGCTTATCTACTGAGTGCCTTTCATCCAAAAAAAATCTTCTGACATATTTTTTATTAAACACACAGTTTAGACATGTTTCTGGGGTGTATTAGACAAGCTGGCTTGGCTGTTGGTTGTATTTTTTTTAATGGTGACATTTCTATCTTTCAAAATAGTTCATGACAGCCTATTATATCCCCTAGACACCAAGCTGGGGCTGCACCTTTCTCTTGGAAAGGACTGATATAACTGACATGAATTTTTTCTTTCTCTGCTGAGTGATCAAACTACAGTCAGATGAGAAATTTTTATGGTATGAATATGGACTAATTAGAGCCTGGACAAAGCACAATCCACAGTTGGAACATTATCAATAACTTGCAGTGATACAATTCTCTGTAGGCTCAGCCAGATGATGAACTGATAAAGGTTTCAGAAACCATGTGTGGGTGAGCCCACATTACCTAAAACACTAAAAGCAAGCAAAAGGCCATTGTGAGAATAGCCCAAATAGAAAATCAAAGACTAAGATTAATTAATACAATATTTTGTCAGAAATACTTAGTAACAGGTTGTGCTTTTATGGAAGATTTCCTTGGAAGGTCTCAAAGCATTTGACAAATGTGAGTTAATTCATTTACTTCTTTAAGATTAGCTGGCAATGTGTAAGGCTTACTCTACGAGCTATTAAAATGCAGCCACTTCTCGACTGAGCTGCATCATTAATTCTGCGCTGCCGGTGTTCATGGAAGTTCTCAGGCGCCTCAGGCAAAAGTTATGACTGACTCAGAGTATATTAAAGATACCATCGTGTAACAAGTTGTGACATTTCCAAGCTTCTCTAAACAAGTGGATTGGTGGCGACATGACTCTGCTGTGATTGTTCCACGCTCAAGTGGTGCATGATAACCATGCAAACCATCTCGTACTGAGCACCCCTGTGCTGCATGCTTTTACTCAGGAGACAAGATTCTGTGCACTGGAGAGCTTAAGTGAGGGAAGACAGTCATTAATTAAAAAGTACACTGGGACCCAGGTAAAAAAATGTGACCCAGTGCTGATTTTATTTTTTTTTTTGTGGACTCTGAGATATCACTTCTAAATGCAGTAATATTTGTGAGTGTTAAGAAAAGTAAGATTTCTTCAGATTTGATCTTTGAAATATTCATTTCGCTTCTCAGCGTGAAAACAGCTCGCAGAAACAATGCACGTAGTATTGGTTTGCAGCTGAAACGAAAAACAGGGTAAAAAAAAAACTTCAACCAAACCAACTAACCAAAAAGCCCCACCTGAGTTCAGGGTGGTGTTTCAGACCACAGAACTCTCCTGGTACGCCACTGTAGCACCAGTGTGTTGACACATAGGACCGGGGATGCGTCCCCCCAAACCTTCTCCAGGCTTCCTTCCCTATAAGTGCTGCAGGAGGCAAGCCCTGTAAAACTGAAGACAAGCATTACGTTGACAAGGGTGGACACTTTGTAGTCTTAAGAAGTTGAGATGCCCAGTCCTTCACCAGACATCCAAGAGAATAAGGTATTGTTGGCCTAGGTAGCAACAAGACTGCAGTACTCCTGCAGAGGGGTAGGCCTTACATGCTGCCGTAGCTCTTAAAACCAAAAAAGCCTGGCTTCTGACTCCCTCTAGCCTTGAAAAGAGTACCTATAGTGGCCAAGTCCTTGATAAGCAAGCATGAAGAGGAAATAACCTGTTTGTGAAATAGCCTTGTCTTGGTGCTGTCAAGACTTAAGTTGGACCTTCTGACTGACAGAAGCTGGTGAAGCACCTCTAAACTTAGTTGCCTGAAAGATTAAACAACCCTGAAAGGTAAATGGGAATAGATTACTGTGCAGATCTTAGTGGGTTTAGGGTATCTGAGTTGCAACTGCAAGCAGTGTTTGGACAGACCAGATTCCCTTCTTCGTACACTTGGATTGACCCCCTCAAGGTTATTATTCTTGGGCATGTTTTTTCTAGTACGAGTGTGAGATGAGAGAGGAGCCTTTCATGCACAGACTGTTTCTCTCATATTATGTCTGAGAGAGCCAAATTATGATCTGACTTGAGAACAACATCAGTCCATCAGGTAAACTACTGTAAAGCTGTCATGCTCTGCCTTAAATGAAATTGCTTCTCAAATCAAGTTCCTTGCCACTTATATAATACTTTTTATTTCTCAATAAACACTGGTTCAGACAGGATTAAATGTTATGTATTGCAAGACAGCCTTTTCAGAAAGCTGTGAAATGGAAGAACATATGCTGCTCCCCTTCCTTGAGATTTGCTTGAGTTGTGTTGCCGACAGAGGCTGATTTGCCAGCATACATAAATTTTGATCCTGGAGAAAGGTACCCATCTATTTGACAGCTGTGAGGAATGAAATCCTCTATTTACCAACACAAGAACAGTGGAAACACATGTGTTTCTCCTACTGTTCTACCTGTTCTCTGGAGGGACCAATTTTAAAAATGAGTGAAAAGTCCAAAAAGCCTGAGCTACTCAGTCCTTGTTTCTCTGCTACAGTTGCCCATCGCTTTGTGGTATCTGTTGAATGGGAATCAGCAGCTGCTGTGACGCAGGTCACATCTGAAGGGGTGTAAGCTGTGAGTGCTGCTGGTCAGCTCAGGGATTCCCAGTGGGATGGGGAGTTTTAGGCATGGAATATAAGGTGTTTTATATTCTCTTAAACATGGTTGGTTGGCCTCTGTTCTATGTTGAAGGCTTTTGTCCAGCACGTTGTGGGACAGAGGTAGGTCTGTTCCAGGGCGCAGAGATTCTCACCAGGAGTTTCCACCAGTCTTGCTGAGAGCAGATGAAGGGTTTTGCTTAAGCAAAGCTTTCTTGACCTCACTGATGGGCTGTGAAACACAAGGATCTAGGGGTTATTTTATGATATAACCCAGTCAGGTTTTCCAGCAGAGATGGGGCTGGGTGAGCTGGCATGCTTTGAGCTACGGGGGAGTCTCTGCTGTGTAAAAACCTACATCTGCTGCCTCTCACTGGAGACGGGCCTGTTCACAAATGCTTCAGCAGGTCTTTTGTAATGTCCAGGAGGGAAGAGTTTTATCTGTGCACTGTCAAGTACTTAACTGCAAAATGAACTTCTCTGTTGATGCCAATTCTTTCTCAGAAGTAAGTAGGTGACTTAATTTTCTGAGACTGTACTCACTCATTTCGTAAATACTATGTTGACATGCAACAGAGTGCTACAAATTGTAGTAAAGTTCCATGGCTATTAGGAATTAAAATAGGATTAAAATGGTATTTTTAAGCTTGTTCAGCTAAAGAAGAAATTGCAAAGCTTTGCTTGAAGTGTAACACACCCAACTAATGTTGGCAAGAGTTGGGAATGTGAAGTTGATGATTGTCATCACCGAGACGGCAATAATGAGAGAAGCTGCTTTGCAGGCAATGGGAGCTGATATTGGCAGCCTGCAGAGGGACTGAATGTCCTGTTGTAGGTGGATTCGAGGAAGGACGTGTAGGGATGGAAGCTGGTTCCTCGTTTCTTTTAGCCATTCATCTGACTGTAAAAAAAAGTTCTTGTGCTATCAATGCACTATCAGTTTAAACCACTGCTTGCTAAGATATGTTTGTTTTCTTCCTGAGATCTTTCCTATTACTCCTGCCAGAGCTGGAAGATTACTTTAAGTTATTTCTTGGCATAGGAAAACACCTGCTTGAATTCCTTTTGATCTAGAATGGGATTAAAGTTGCATTC